TGGCTGGAGCCTGAGAAACCATCCAGTCCTTTGGCTCTTGTGGGTATGGATGAGAGAGCAGTAAGGGCTGGTAGTGGGGAAAGAAAGCCAATGTGGAGCCTGGTCCCACGGTACTTAAGTCGGGATGGGTTGATTCCAGTCATATACTCATGTCAAGATCAGCTCAAGTCCTGGCTCAAATTCAAGGGTGACCTGGCACAGGGGGAGCACCTGTATCCCACATGTCGGGAGGAGCATAAATTGGAGGCCAGCTTGGGCTATGTAATAAGATTTTCTTTAAAATGAAACTGTGATAGGGATTTACTTCCATTGGTAGGGTGCTTATTCAGCATAAATGAAGATCCGAGTTCAATTCCCAGCACCCCATAAAAGCAGATGGAACAGCAAATACCTGTAGTCCTAGCAATCTGAAATATGGAGGCAGAAAGATCAGAAGTCCAAAGTCACCTCCAGCTATACTGTACTTGGTCTATAAAACCACAAATTGTATTTTTCAAAAGTGTGCGTATGTGTGTGAGTATGTATATGTGAGTGTGTGCATGTGAATGTGTGTAAGAGAGTATATGTGTGAGTATGTATTATTTATGTGTGTGTGTGAGTGTTTGTAAAAGAGTATGTGTGTTTGTGAGTGTGTGTGTATGTGAGTGTGAGTGTAAGAGAGAGTATGTGTGTGAGTGTGTGTATGTGAGTGTGAGTGTAAGAGAGAGTATGTGTGTGAGTGTGTGTATGTGAGTGTGTATATAAAAGAGAATATGTGAGTGTATGTATATATGAGTGTTTGTGTGGTGTGTGCAGTGTCTGAGAAGGCCAGAGAAGGCACTGATTCCCTAGGGCTGGAGTTACAGGTGGCTGTGAGACACCCAATCTGGGTGCAGGGAACCAAATTAGGGTCCTTGGGAGCAGCTGAGTCATTGTTCCATCCCAGACTACAAATTACTACTAGCCTAAATATTTATCAATTAGAACAGCTCACCTCACCCTCGAAGGCTCACAGGCCATCATGGAACAGGGAAGGGAAAGATGATAAAAGACAGAGGTCAGGGAAATGGGATCAAAACAGCATCTTCTGGACATGAAAGGGCCACTCACTCACAAACTCACAGTAGACGTGGTTGCCCACACAAGATCAAGCCTGTCAACATTCCGACATGGAGAGGGGTGGCCATCATGAGCACCGACCCCAGGCTGAGGAGCTAGAGGCAGCTCATGGCTCCTAGGGGAGGGTGAGTTGGTCGTCTTTAAGGGTGTGGCTCCTGGTAGATTGCCAATTCTCCAGTGGCTGGCCCAACACCATGAGTAAAAAGGCAACGGAAACAGGACTGATGGGTTATAATAACAAAACAAAAATGAGGATGCAAGTTGGAAAGTGGTAGAGGAGGGTGGAGTTAAGAAGAGCGGAGGGCAGATATAATCAAAATACAAGCTGTGCATTGATAAAATTCTCAAAGGACTAATAAAGTGATTTGGAAAAGAAGAGTTTACTCTGTGGTGTCACATCTCCATGTTAGAGTAGGATGCAGCTACCACAGTCATGCGTTTAAAGAACATTTAAGGAACGAGGAAGAATCAATAAAACAGTAAGAGAAGAAGTCAGGATAAAGGCAGCCACAGTTCTAACTTCACTCTCTATTTTAAAACTCCTACCAATAATGGCTTCAGTTTGGGGTCAACTTAGAAGTATGGCACATGGTAGGTTATGCTATTATAACAGAGACAAAAAAGAACCTGAGGGAGTCCTCATGGTGGCAAATGGGAGATGCTGACTGGGGGTTCACTGTGGGCCCCAAAGCAAAGCATTCTTGGTATTCTGCTGGGTACAGCTTGTTGGTCGGGATTGACAGTGGTTATCTCTAAGTAAAAATAGCAATGAATTATCTTTTCTACTATGTCTCTGTTTTCCAATTATTATATAATTAATGAACATGCATTGGTTTTATTATTAGAAAAAAAATCACTTATGATATAAATTTAAATGCTGGGCATTCCCTAGCAATTAATCAATCTAAAAATAAACAGATTATATTTACACGCTTGCCATGATTATCCAGGATAGATGGAATGAGGAAGCCAAAGAAGATTAGTAGCTTATTAATTCATGTATCATTGCAACATACTACAACAAAGAGGGATTTCTTCAAAAAAAAAAAAAACAAGATAAAATGAGTTTCAAAAGATAAAGGCAAGGATTCAATATATTTGTCAACCAAAAGATGATGATTTGAGTGAGCTTGGAAATGCCAATAAAGTACCATTATCAATGTACTTAGAGAGGGGTGTGCTCTGTCTGGCCAGCCACAGTGAAATCACACAGCCTGGAAATCTTGCTTCAGCTCCAATCAGATATTTCCTCTTTCCCAGTTTGAATTTGGTGACATTGCTCACCGTAGGTTAGAAGAAGCATGGTTAGGGTGTTATATATACATGCAAAAGGAGATTGGATTAAAAGCAATCCCCTAAGAAACCTTAGAAATTATTCTCCCTGGCAGAGTGCCAGAGGCATACATACATGACCCTCAGATGTCTGTCCCCAGCAAACCAGCAAGAAATTTGTCAAATGAGAACATGCATCAGCGAGGCAGGTTCCTGGCCCGGGGACTCTCAGTTTTGGCTGAAGGCTTCCTCATCACTGTCAGACACCTGTCAAAGCTTTATCACAGACACCTGTCAAAGCTTTATCACGGAGCTGACAGCTGCATGAGTGATAAGCATGACGCTGGTCTGTGGTGCTTTCAGGGATGAAACTGGCAAGCTCACATGGACTGAAATGCTTAATCTCTGTATATAAAAACTAGTAAAATAAATGTGGAGCGGTGCAAGCATGAACCAGCTAAAGGAGATGCCCAGAGCTAGGGGAATCAGCCCTGCTTGCTTAGTTCTGTTGTTCCACTGCGGAAGTGGAACCCAGCTTCAGAAACTACCCTCACTGACTATGCTATTTAAAAAATCATCATTGCCAGAAAAAAAGTCATCATTGCCAGACTGGACAGTGCTCGTAAACTCCTTTAATCCCAGCACTTGGGAGGCAGAGGTGGGTGGATCTCTGTGAGATCGAGGCCAGCCTGGTCTATAAAGCAAGTTCCAGGGCAGCCAGGGCTACACAGAGAAATCCTGTCTTTAAAAATCAAAACCAAAACCAAAACAATCACCACAGCCATGGGCTGGTAGACCAGCTCAGCAGGTAATGCACCAAGCCTGACAGCCTGAGTTTGATTCCCCGGACCCACGTGATGGAAGCAGGGAACTCACTCCTGGAAGTTGTTGTCTGACCTCTACATGTGTGCATAAATGTGTACATGGGCACACACGCTTGTACACAAATACATTAAATAAATAAAATGTTATATTTATGGAAAACATCATTGTCACCTAACATGGCTATGGGACAGGGAGGTGCTCTAAGGCCTACAAGGAATGACCTACACAGCTGTAGGGACTGGATTCCTGGTCAGGTCCCCTTGAATACAGGCCAGCCTGAGCACTGTATTGCTGGGCTGGAAGGAACCCTCAGTGAAGGGGATAGGAAAACAACCTTCGCCTCCATGCTGGGCCTCGTCAGGATTTCTATTCATCATGGAAATTAGTGTGCCCTTGGGCATCAAGAAGAGAGGTGTGTATACAACAGCCTATATATAAGGCATGGGAAGTAGAATTGTATTTCAGAACTGTGTATTATTTAGCACCAGTAAACGTGAAAGGAGAATTTCAGCAGGAGACCCTTAGGGTGAAATCTTAGTTCACTATAAAATTAAATCATGTAGAACGGTCCCCTCTCCAGGGCCCTGGAGGAAATGAGGTGGGACACTAAGTACAAAGTGGTAATCTAATACCCGGGGCATGCTAGGCAAAGGAGCGACCAGGGCAAAATGGGGGAAGCCTTGAGAAACTGTCACTAGGAAATGAGTTTTCGAGCCAATCTTAAAATCTAAAATGTGAGGTCAAAAGCAGTACTCTTCCAAGCAAAAGACAGGCCCAGTGGTCAGGAGGCACCAGGAGTCCTGGGGAAAGGTTAAGAGGTGATAGTGAGCGCTTCTCTATTACCCAGGCTAAGGAGGGAATGCTGGCTGCAGAGCACCCTTTGGTGCAAGGTCAGGTCAAGGGGTCACTGTGTGGAAGGTGCAGGGCAGGGTGGGGATGGGGCAGGGAGTGAGCAAGATGGAGGAAGGAGACCCTCTGCCCCCAGTACAAAGCACAATACTGTTTCTCCATTGGTAATTCCTTTGCCCCCGAAGTCTCACTGACCCAACTTATATAAACATGAGAACAAAGCAGATCCTTGCTCAACACATCATTAGCCTTAGCTTCAGAATGTGCAAAGAATTCCGGCTAATCCAGTGAGCAAGCCTGGGAACCTGGCCCTCAATCAGCGAAGCAACCCAGGGTGTTAAGAGTTCAGTCAGACCGAGAGTCACATTCCCCCTCTTGGGAAACTCCCAAGTTTGCTGCAATATCATCAATCTCTTCTGTATCTTTAGTTCGTCTTTTCTGAGTAGGTTCCAGACATGATCTCATCCAGCCACCGTATCTCCTGAATAACAATGATAACGATTTACATTTGTTCTGTGTGCTAAGTGTATGAAAGTGCTACTAAGTGTATTTTCCTACTTAATGCCTAGTTCAAATAAAATGGAAGAGACGGAATTCCCACTTTGTAGATGCAGAAACTGAAGCTCTACAAGGTTATGTTACTGGTGGAGCAGCACCGAGTCTCCTATCCACATGTCCCAATCCCTGTATCCATCTATAGAAGCTTAGTCCCCATATAGGGAAGAAATCAGGAAGAACCAGTAACTGGTATTCTGTAGATGGGGAGACCGTGGTACTCACTGTTCAAATGGCTTTCACGGAAGAGACAGAGCAAAGAAAAGGAGAACCTAGAAAACTGTCCTGTGTTCAAGTCACGTGGTATCATACATCTGGTGTCATCCCCTGAAACCATGATAGGATATACTTTTTTGAGTAAAATCCAAACTTTAACTCTTTCTAACCTCATGAACTTGCAGAACTCTCACCGGAGTGAAAGCTACAGCAGGTGGACCAGACAGATCCCAGGCATGACGGACAGTTTGATTGGACTGGAAAGCATCTAGCTGATTAGAAGGCAGACTTCTGGGACCACCCGTGAGGATGTTTCCAGACAGGATTCCTTAAGGAGGGAAGAAGAGCCCTAAATGGGCACAGTACCCCACTGCTTGCAGCATGTGATGCATTGGAACAGGGTGGGAAAGTCCCTGTGTGCAGAAGCTCTCCCTCTCTGTGCATCTCTGATGGCCATCTTATCCTACATCCCATGATGCTCTGTCTCACACTGCAGAAACAGCTAGGCTCGGAAACTGCAGGCTAAAATAAACGTTCTTGCTCTAATTTTTTCTGTCGGTATTTCCTACCCAGCAACAAGTCTGACTGATCCAAAGTCTCGATCTGAATAACCTTTTCTCCTTTAGCTATAGCTTTTTAAGGAAATGAGAATGACCCAAACACATACTTTTAGGCAGAGTTCAAGCCTCACGGAGAAGAGAAATGAAAATGGAGCAGGCCCATCACATGGTCTGGAGTTCTCGTTTTAGACTTTCTCACTGCCTCCTCCCTGGATGATATTTTCAAGTTCTAGGCATGTGATGGACTGAAGTCCACCAGAGCTATTTCAGTCTGAATTTGGCATTGTTGAGTCTAAGATATATGGTACAAAATAGAACACAACGTGAAACACCATGGAGTTATGTAACTGGAGCTGAGGCTACCCACATTTTGTGCTGTTAGCTCCTCGATTATGGAAGGACAGCCGTCTATCAACCTCAGCATAAACTCCACAGGCAAGGTGTTAGCCTAGACTTTGCTTTGAGCATCCCAGGGCAAATATAGACATAGATCCTGATGAGGCTAGCATGTCCCCCCAGCTACTCCTGGGAGGCTGTAAAAACCTAGACCCCTTTATCAAACCTGGCTTCCAGGTGGAAGAGCTCAAATTTGTTCCTGTCAGAACTTGGCAGTGAGTTTTTGAAAATTATTCCAGACAAATGGCTTACGAAAATGTTTCTAGTTGCTTCCTGGCAGAGAAAGAAGGTACCGATCTGCCTGGCGTGTTGTTCTGTTTGGTGATGCAGTTTGGGGTTTGCATAACACCGCCAGGAGCCCCTTCATTTTGGGTCTTTGGATTGCTTCTTGATACTCATTGCCTGCACCAGGTTTTCCACTCACCCCAAGTTCTCAAATACCCTTTCCTTTAAGAACAGACACTCCAGATTGACTCCTAGGTTTCCCACTCACCCCAAGTTCTCAAATACCCGTTCCTTTAAGAACAGACACTCCAGATTGACTCCTGCTGCCTTGAGGGTCACACCAAGGAGGGGGGGACTTGCCTCGTGGAAGTCTCAGGGTTGTGGAAGACACTGCCCACCGGAATGAAAGCACGCTTCAGACAGAAGAGGCATGAAGATAAAGGGGAAGGGGAGGAGGCAGAGAGAAAGCAGTGGAGAGAAGGAGGGAGAGGAGGGGGAAGACAAGGGCAATGACTAGGAGGAAGAAAGGGGCTAGAGACCTCACTGCTTACAATGCACCCCCTCTACTGCACGCAGTACTACTCCCCAGGCAGGTTTACAGGCTCACAGTCTTCACAGACCTCTAATGCGCATGCCTGCAGAGAAGAGCATGGAAGGTCTTGGGGGGAAATCGCCATTCTCTGATGCTTTGCCTTGGGAAAGGACTTGTTTGTGTTTGCTTTTTATGAGGCAGGGTCTCATGGAGCCCAGGCTAGCCCCAAACTTAATATATAGTAGAGTCCGTCCGTCCCCCCAAGAACTGAGATCACAGGTATGTATTATCATGTCTGGCTTGCGGGCAAAGATTCTCCATGATTATCTCAAAACAGGTCCTCTGTTTCCAAGGTTTATTTTGCTTCTGTTTGTAGCCTTACAATTATAACTGGTTTTAATAACCTATTTAGTTACTAGAAGCTAGAAAATAATAAAAGTCTTTATATTAAAGACTTTGTCAACAAAGAAAAAATAGCATGTATTCATTACCATGGCGATCTCATTAGAAAAGCTAGCCAGGAAATCTACCCATAACACAAACCGAGAAATATCTGGGCGAATAAACACCAAGTATTAGCAACTGTGAGACAGTCAGACAACTGGGTGGGCAGACTGTTTCTGTTCCTTTGTGCTTGTCTGCATTTTCTATATTAAAAACATGTAGCTTCATAATTAAAAATAAGAGATAAACAAAAATAACATAGAAACTTCCCTTAGAAAAACAACCAAAAGTAGGGTTGAGTCAGCCGGCCTGTTTCCTCCAAATGAATGCTTCTGGAAGCGTGGGTTCTGAGACACCCTGCTGGGCTCAGATCCTGCTTCCTTCCCCAAGCCCAAACTCCTAAGCTGGGAAGAGGAGGGAAATATTAACACTAACTCTGCTTCAAGGATCAGATGAAAGATTTCCTCGTTAAAGTATGCTTTGATAATTGGCAGTTCTCACTTATTCTTGCTTGCTTCTTATCGCAGAGCGGGTTCCAAGTCTTGTAAGTATGGAAAATGGCTTTGCTGTGGGGTCTGTGTATACTTCCCCACATGCAGGCTCACCCCTAGCTTCCGCTCAGCCTCTGGTTTTATCACACTTTAAAAATCTGTATCCACTAGAAGGAAACAAAATAAAAAAATAGACTAAACTGGAGAACTTAAAAGAAACAGGTGAATTCTTAGATACATAGGACCTACCAAAATTAAATCAAGATGAAGTAAATAATTTAAATAGATCCATAACAACCATGAGATAGAAACAGTAATTAAAAATCTCTTAACTAAATGATGTCTAGGGCCATATTAATGTAGCACAGAATTCTACAGGACACTCAAAGAAGAACTAACACAATACTCCTCAAATTATTTTGTAAAATAGAAAAGAAACACTACCACGATGGTTTGAATGAGAATGGCTCCCATAGGCTAATATATTTAAATGTTTGGATCCCAGTAGGTACACTGTTTTAGGAAGGGGTAAGAGATGGGGCCTTGGAGGAGGTGTGTTGCTGTTGGAGCAGGCATGTCACTCTGGGTGGGCTTTGAGGTTTCAAAAGCCCATGCTAGACCCAAACTCTTCTCTTCCCTGACTCTGGCCTGTGGACCAGCTGTTAGCTCCCAGCTACTGCTCCAGTGCTAAGCTTGCCTGCCTGCTGCCATGCTCGCTGCCATGATGATCATGGACTCACCCTCTGAAACTATAAGCAAGCTCCCTAATTTAAATGTTTTCTTTTATAAGCTGCCTTGGTCATGCTATCCCTTCACAGCAATAGAAAAGTAATTTAGACAGCTACCATTTAAAAAAATGAGGCCAGTCATACCCTGATACCCAAATTAGGCAAAGACCCAAGAAATAAAGAAAATAATAACAAAATCTCTTGGAGAAACATAGATGCAAAATTTCAATAAAAGACTTACAAGCCAAATTCAAGAGCACATTCAAAGATTATCTACCATGATCAATCTGACTTCATCCCAGAGGTACAGAGATGGTTCAACATAAATGTCAGCAACCATGTAAGTAGACTCAAGGAAAGAAATCACATGATTGGAAGCAGAAAAGGCAATTTACAAAATCCAACATCTTTCATGATAAAAGTCCTAGAGAATCCAATGATACAGAAAACATATCACAACATAATAAAGGCAATATACAAGTTTACAGGGAACATAATGCTAAAGAGAGGAAAACAAAAAGTGTTGCCACTAAAATCAAGAACAAGACAATGATGTTCACTTTTTCCACTCATTGTCAATATAGTGCTTAAAGTCTTAACTAGAACAATAAGACAAGTGAAGAAGATCAAGGGGACAAAAAACAGGGCAAAAATATCTTTATAAAGATACTTATAAAATATAAGTATCTTTATAAGAAGTAAAAGTATCTTCCTTTTGTTAATCTTGTTCTACACATGAAAGACCAGAAAGACTCTACCAGAAAAGTTTCTACAGCTGATAAACATATTCAACAAAGTATTGGGATACAATAGTTTTCCATATATACAAATGACAAAACAGAGAAAGAAATCAGGGAAACAAACCCATTTACAATAGCCTCAAAATTATCTTGGAACAAATGTAACTAAGGAAGTGATGACTTTTATAATAAAAGCCTGAAGACATTGAAGAAGATAACAGAAGTAGCTTCATCCCTAATGGCAGTTCTCATAGAGCTGTAAGGTGATAGGCACACTACTGAAGATGAAAAATAAACAGCCATCTTACGCAGCTGGGAACACTGTAAGCTACAATAATAACTGCCCAGGCAAGATGTTCGACAAGTGTAATAGTGGCCCAGATGTAATGGGAGTAACCAACCACTCACACCTGGTGCTGTGAACAGGGCCAAGAAGCTGCAGCTAGATAGCTCACCATGTACTACAGAGGACCTACTATTATTATTCTGCTAAATGGATATAGTACTAAAACAATTCCTAATGGCTTATAGCTATCGTTATAAAGCATCTCCTAACTCTCATCTGAGAGACTTCTTGCAGTAGATGACAGTTAACACAGTGACTCACGGTTGGTCCGTGTGCAAAGAGTAAGAGACTACTGAGTGCTCCTTCTAAATGAGACATCTATACTGCACCCTCCTCCCAGGCTCAGGGGGATCTTCTCAAAGACTATAAGAGCCAGGGGCAGTAGACGACAACAAGGAAACAACAGGGCAGTTGCACATATGAACTAAAAGCAATTGTGACAGAAAGCTCAAGAAAGCCTTACACAAGCTCAAATCAAAGCAGACAAGACTTTATCACGGAGACAGAGGGGTGAGTGGGCTGAAGTCCTACCCAAAGCTGAGAAAATATCATCATTTTCTAGCTGCTGGAAGAAAGAGGGCATGTTTTCTCTAAGAGAGTGACAGGTTAAAGAAGCTTCAAGGCCAGCCACACACCTAAGAATATTTAGGAACACAAATTGACTTCTATGGGTTTTTGTTTTTGTTTTAAGAGAGAGAACGTGAAGTTGGGTAAGGAGGGAGGTAGTGGGACCCAGGAGGAGTTAGGTGATGAATATGATCAAAA